AATGTAAGATTCTGCAAGGAAGGTAAAAACCATGGCTCTGATACCACCTTTGTCACGACCCAACCCCCGGATGCTTAGGGCTGGAATCGCAACTTATTAATTCTAATTGAACAAATTAAGTAGCGCAAGCAGAAGCGGAATAAAAGTAAAAAAATAATTAAACGGATAATTAATTTGTTAATGATTGAAAATACATCCATAGGGCTTTTATTATTTTATTATGTAGTGAAAAAATTTTAGAAAAAAAAAAGAAAGAAAAAGAAAAGGAAAAAAAAAACAAGTGTAACAGGTCGACATCAAATTTCGCGCGAGTCCCATTGTACGAGGTTACAGTTCTTCTTTATATCTCATCACCTAAAAGGGGTAACAACTATAAGTACACAGTAGAGTGAGAAATATTTTGCCAAGAGTATATGAGATACAAAATAATTATGGATAGTTATTTAAGCTAAAACATTAACGTAACTTAATTTGAATAACCAATTATTTAAGTGGCAGAAGCTAAAACACAGAAATTATGTAAATAAATAACCATAATCACGGTACATAATAGAACAGAACAGAACAGAGGTCATTGGAGTGATAGTTAGAACAGAGGTCAATAGATTCATGATAAACAAAGGGCCACAAAGTGACCAGTCAGAAGCCAATGGTTTAGTTAAGTCTCCCAAGGCATAGGACTCCTGTGATGATACTTAGAGAAAATAATTGTCTATAAAATCATTGTCAAATAATTTTTAAATTTTAAACAAACATATCCATGGGTTTCAATTTAAACAAATAGAGTTTAGAATATAATCAACGTAATTAAAATATTAATATAATTATAAAACACAAATTACATAAAATAAATTATGGTAACTCAAAACATACGTAAAATAAATTATGATAACTCAAAGTATAATATAACTCACCTTAATATTAACCATTTACTCTTACTTTCCACTATCACAAACCTTCTTACTTATTAGTTTACTATCTCCGGTATCTCTTTCATATTTTGTTTTTTTTGTTGCACTGACCTTGAGGAAATCCTCCCTATTTATAGGGAGGCAAACCGTGCCATCAAACCACAAGAGTCCTCTAGAACCAATACATGTCCATAGCCAAATCTTCCTTAGATTTTTTATTAGAAATCTTCCTTAGATTGATACTTATCTTATTAATTTTTGCGTTAATTATACTCTTGCCCAGTTCTGTAAAAATAATTATATACCACTCGTTTGATAATAAAAAAAAACTAATCCCTAATTAAATTACACTAAACCATAACATCTAATATTTTATTTATTATATATATATAATTTTACATGGTATTTAATTAAATATTTAGGGTGTCACACCAATTGAATCTTTTGCACCTCGATAGGTTAGATTTCTATTGCCACTCAAGTCTCAGAAAAATTCCAAAAATTTCTCTGACCACTGGTTTGTTTCCCTCGTCATGAAAATTTATAAACCAGTGTTAATCAATGTCATGACCCAAACCCGCCCCTATGGGTTAAGACATAACCGGCCAGTAATCATGAGATTACCTACGGCCTCAGACCAAATAAAACGCATTTCAATAGAGGAAAGGGGCCAAAACGGAATCAATTTAAAACTTTGTCCATAGAGTTGTGCTTACATGGCATAACAAAATCATTCCAAAAGTATCCTATAATAACTCACACAAAGGAAGTTAACATATGAGCTTTACACAACAGGATCATTCAGGTCATGGTTAGCCAAACCAAAAGCTTATATACAAAGGTGATCCAAAGTTCTCGCCAACATACAAAAATGTAACAAAAGAACAAAAGGGCGAGACAAGTCTCATGCGTGAGACGTATGGGCTGACTCCTCAAAACTTGACTATCTCTCACATACTTCACTGAGGCTGGGTTTGGACACCTCTTCGCTCACCTACAGACACATGAATGAGAGTGAGCGAAAGCCCAGTGAAAAATATCAAGTAAAGAAGATACATGAACGAACTTTGAAACAGTTATATCAAATAGCCTTGGGCCCAATTCATGTTCCTACCTAATATATCAAACAACAAAAGTTCTAGACGTATCAAACGGCCTCGGGCCCAATTTACTCATATCCGACGGCCTTTGGCCCATTCATTCATATCCAATGACCTTTAGCCCAATCATTCATATCAAACTGCCTTTGGCCCAACCATTCATGTCAAACGGCCTCTGGCCCAATTCATTCATGTCAAACGGCCTTTGGCCCAATTCATTCATGTCAAACGGCCTTTGGCCCAATCATTCATGTCAAACGGCCTTGGGCCCAATCATATGGCATAACAGATATTCGTCCACAATTCAAATTAACAAGCTTACAAAGCTTTTATAGGCATAAGCAATAGGACAAATAACATACTTCATAATATCTCTACTAAAATATTACTCACAGTGATCTGCCGGATGGTTTGCCCTTGTGCTTGACCCTACACATTTCATGAACATAATGGGGTCACAAACTATTCAATCCGTTCTTAATTCATATATCCCTCTTAGGCTTCATTCTTATCTTTTTAATACGTTTACAATGTTCAGTGCATGCCTAAGAGTGCTTAGAAATACAAGAGAACGGAAAATAAAACACAAAACATTTTACAAAATTTCTGAAACAGGGCTCCCCGCTTAAGCGTAGGTTTCCCCGCTCAAGCGGATCCCCTTTTGTCTGCAAAAGTACTGGTTACCTCATTAATACGCTCGAGCTTGACTTTGGACGCTCGAGCTGAATATCAAACTACATGGCTTTACGCTCGAGCTTGAATCTTCCCACTCAAGCGGACACCAATGTCTGCAAAAGTTCTGGGAACCCACATTCCAGGCTCGAGCGGCCCTTTCCCCGCTCGAGCGGACACGCCAAATTCTGGAATTTCCAGAACTGGTTTTAAAGTTCAAACTCAACATTCAAAGGCCCAAAACTCATGTTCTTGGTTCAAAAACGTGGAAATGCATTATATATCATGAGGATGTAAGCAATATGAGACCAATTGTTCAAAATCATAATCTAATTCTCAAATTAATCAACATTTCTCTTGCATGACCAAAATTCATGCATCCAAACTTCACACAAGCCTCATATCTCCATCAATCAAGCATGCATGTAAATTTTTGACTCCAATTCCATTTCAACTGGCACTAATGATGCTTACAATCATGAAACTCATGAGAATTATGCATGCATGTGAGATTTGGTGCCCAATTCATCATATTCAAGATGCTCCATGCTTGAATGTGTAAAATCATGGCAATTCTATGCATGCATGTGCATATGGGCTCCCAATTCATCATAATCAACACGACTCATGCTCTTGATTGCGATCTAACTTTGAATTCACAAAATTACAAACTTATACACATGTATTTATACTCAAATGCTTACCTAGGAGCTCTAATCACCCAAATTATGGTTAATTCTTGAATTGGTCTTCAAGATCTTCAAGTTTCTTGATTAATTCTTCAACTTGAGCTCCCTCTCTCTCTCTCTAACCGGCACACACTCTCTCTCTAGAGTGTAATCTCAGCAAAATGAACTCAAATGAGAGGAATTAAGTGTATATAGAGGCCTATTTATAGGCTCTCTTAATCAAATTGATTAAGGCTAAGCAATTGGGCTTAATTTAATCGTTCTGAATATAATTATTTTGATTCGAATCAATTTCTAATTAAATTTCACCGTAGGTTCTAAAAATTATGCCGATCACAATGGCATAATCAATTTTGGTTTTTGACACCTCTAAGGCCTTCAATTTAAATTCTAAAGCAAATAATCAAACAGATTTTCCTATGGTGAACAGATAGAAATTTAAAATCACATATATTCATATAAATGGCACCCAAAATCATATCAAACACATAATCACAATCATAATTAAGATTAATTAGCATAATACAAAACAGGGTTATCACAATCAAAATCTATTTGTAATTTTCTCTGCAGTGCAATAACTTATATGGAAGAACTCATGTGCCTTGACTGATTGAGATCAATTTTCTCTGAAATTTCAATTTATGTTGTTTGTTTGATTAACACTGGTTTATTTCTTCCCTTGTAATGAATTTTCTCTGAATCCAAATTTCTCTGACCACAATTATAGTAACATTAACTTATATGCCTTGATTAATTTTCTCTGATATCTAAATTATGTTGCTTGTTTCATAATTTTCTCTGACCCATAAAATTATGTCTCCTTGTATGTAATTTTCTCTAGCCCATAAAATTTCTCTAAAGTTTATTTCCCATTAGTATGATGTAGATGAATTTTATCTGACATTTGGTTGATCTTGTTTGAATTTTTCTCTCAGTGAAATTTTAATATTTCTCTAATAAAAGACCCTCCTGTTATAGATAGATAACAAGAAGCTAGTTAAAAACTCATCAGAGGAGTTTTGTCTTGGTAAAAAGAAGAAGAAAGAAGCAAATAAGGCATTGGCCAAATTCAAGGAGACATTAGAAGATTCATTTGAAGAAGAATGAATGAATGAAGAAGAAGAAGGAAACAAAGAAGAACAAGAAGCAAGCAATGGAGAAGAAGATCAAGCAAGCAGTGTAGAAAAGGAAGCTAAAGAAGAAAATGAAGAAGTAGAAGACAAAAAAGAATATGAAGGGAAAGAAGAAGAAGATGAAGGCACTGAATCTAAAGAGGAAGAAGAAAACAATGAGGAAATGGATGAAAAAGATAATAATGAGCGGATGAACCAATATCATGATAGCATTTGTGGCTCAACAATGCAACAACCTCAAGATTCTGAGGAATCAAAGGATTCTCAAATTGCTAATCTACATGAAAAACTAAAGGCACTTTCTAAATCCAAAATAGAAGAGAAAAATTAGAATTAATTACTCGAAGAAAAGGACATTCCAACCAGGGATGAAGAGGTACTCTTTCTTCTCTCACGTATAGATGCAAGACTTGTGTGGTTAAATAGGAGCTGTTAACATTTATTTTCAGCCATCAACATGCATCAAGGACCAAAACAATTTGTGATGGTATTCTGAGACTATATATAAATTAAATAATATCTTTGTTTTCACTACCGAATCGCTCCCCTCCTATCTACTATAATGAGCTATTTATGTTACCTTTGCACTAGTTATTGATGACTGGTTTTCAGGTCAACTACTTCCCTTCAAGGTATGATTCGGTTCGCCATGCTGGGACTTTCCCCATTCCTCCTACTATTTGCACTGGCAAGCGCGACAAGGTTTGTTTCTCTTGCACTTCTATTGAACATGTTAAAAGACTGGATGGATGGTTGAATAAGAATGGGCTAGCTTGGATTAATTAGCTTCTGTATTATCTGTTGAATGTATGGTCAAATAATTAAACTCTGGGTTTTTTGATGAAATGGATTGTTTTAAATTATTTCAACTGATTATAGTTGTAGGCTAACTGTTTCTTTGTTATCAGTGTGTCATTGAGAAGGAAAACAACTTTAAGCAGCCTGGTGAGAGATATCGATCATTTGCACCAGACAGGTATTTTTTTTTTGAGTTTATCAGACATTAGTCAATAATTAGCCTTTATGGTGTTGCCTTATGTTCATTTTACTTATTTTTCCTTTATCTTTTATTAGGCAAGAGCGCTTTATCCGCCAATGGGTCGAAGCTTTATCTGACCCCAGAGCCACTTATGAGATACGTAGTATTTGGATCTTATACTGGTCTCAGGTGAATCTTCCGTTCTTCAACAAACGAATCAACTATAATCAACATCCGCCACAAACCCCACCAACCCAACCCAACCCATCTACCCCTGCGGCCCAAAAAACTAAATAAATAAAAGGAGAAAAAGGAAAAGAAAAAGAATATATATATATAATCGGTGTTCATGCTAAGTTTTTATTTTAAACTGATGTCATTATACTTGCATTATAGAGTTTTTAACTAATGTCATTAAGTTTGACGTAAGTTTTGGAGTAAATAAATCTAATGCATTTTGTGTTGCGTGGCCACAGGCGGACAAGTCTCTGGGTCAGAAGCTGGCCTCTCGCCTCAACATGAGGCCAAGCATTTGAAGGTGAAGCCCCCACAGGACGATTTTTCAGAGTGTTGACGCGAATAAATCTGATTAGTGATAATCCTCCTGTATTCTAATACATCACTTTGACTTAAATATACTGGCAATTCGCCCCTTCAATAAAATGCAGTGTTATATGCAAGTTCTATATAGCGTTGTACCATTGCTCCCCTGTTTCTAGTCTGTTTGTTTATTTGTATATTTTTCTTCTGATCATCATTATTTTGCCAAGGCTTCCCATTCATTTCATGCCAAATCACATCCAGTTTGTACCAAAAATGAGTTAGGATGTTGATACCCAGGTAAGTGCCTGAAAGTAAATTTTTTGAAAATTATAAAACAAAATAAAAAAAATAGTAGTAATAAAATAAATTCTGCATTTTTATTTTTGTCAATTTAAATATTGAAATTTTAATTGGGAGCTTTTTTGATAAATCCATTTTCTAAGAGTTTTATTCCATCCAACCCATATTCTTTTTGACTATTCCATTAGGTCCAATTTGAGATAAGAAGACCAAAATATCCTTTTTATCTACTTATGTTCCATTTAGTTCACATTATTTTCTTATGTTTCAATAAGTCCTATGGGTGACATAATTACCAAAATACCCCTAATGTGAATGTTCACACTATCAATGTCATGACTCGAACCTGCCCCTATGGGTTAAGGACATAACCGGCCAGTAATCCTGAGATTACTTACGACCTCAAACCTTAACAGACATAACTCATCAGAGCAAAGGGGCCAAACGGAAGCAAAAATTTAAAACTTTGTCAATAGAGCCGTGCTTATATGCACTCAAAACAAACCATGCACATATACGTTAATAACCCACAACAAGTACAGTATCACAAAATCCTTTACAGACAGGATCATCCAAACTGAGTCAACCCATATCAAAACTATATACAAATGTACACAAAGTCCTTGCCAACAAGACAAAATATAAATACATAACAAAATGGCAAGGATGGGTCTCATACGTGAGACACAAGGCTGACTCTCCAAAACTCATGTTGTTCC